AAATGTTAAAAAAAAAAAAAAAAAAAGAATAGAAAAAGTTTTGGAGAAGCTATTACTGTACGACAGTGGCCATCACAGACAGGGCAAAAGAGTGGGTAGAATGAGCCTAGATTATATTTGGAGTGGGGCATAGGGGAAAGGCCACGAAAAGTGAGGCTAGTAAAAGTAAGTAGATCACCAGGACTTTCTTCCTAGTCCATCTTAGTAAGGAAGTGCCCCTGGAACCTCTTCAACATAATAGAAACATGCAAGCCTCCACGGAAGGAGGGCAGGTGTCTGCGCTTGGGGTGCATCGGCTGGGAGTGGAAGCCTGGCCTCACACTTGGTAGTCGACAATTCTCAGACTGAATCAACTCTACCCTCAATCTACTTCTTCATTCCATTTCTCAGCCAGCGGTTTTTAATGCACAAGCAATTAAGAATATATATTTTTGGGAATTATCTAAAAATAGGTGTCAAAAATAAAATTTTCACAATATTAAATTTGTATATGAACTCATTAGTTTTATTTTTCAGTTCATGAAACAGGAAACATCTGGTCTACAAGTCTGAGGAAAGTTCTAAAAGATGAGAAAATCTCCAGAGATTTTTATGCCCCACCTCATCAACATTGTCATGGAAAAAGTGGCCAGAACAGTGCTTTTAGAATAACAATTTGCCCAGAAATAAAGCTTCTAGTCAGGCACTGTCTCAAAAATAACACTTGGTTCACTCCGTCTTCCATATCCTCATTGCTTTACTTCATTTCTCTGATTTACAGGAAGTACCCAATTTACCACGTATTGGAGTTACTACGAACTGCACTTAGACTGTCTGTTTTTCCGTTTTTGTACATCTTATCATTAGAAATATATACTACATACAGTGTTGTGGTACATAATTTGCTGCTTGAATCATTCTCATGCCAATACCCAAAGACAAAGGTGGGATTTATAAACATACTGATAAAGGCAATAATAACGTACGGTGTGATGGATTGCTTTTGTGTGGCCTTTCTCACTATGGTCTTGTAACTCTTGATTGAGTAGAACTGTGCAAACAGGGTAGTTGTGGCCCACTGAGGGGATTGGTCAGTTTTGCCTTAAAAGACAGTGAATTCCAGAGCAGAAGGAGAGCCAAGAGCAGGGCCCGTCCTTTGGACCCACGATCCCTGAACTGAGAAGCTCCTGGACCAGGAGACGGAGAGAGAGAGCTGTAACACTGAAGACGGCAAGAAGCAGTGGCAGAGAAACAGCGGCAGAACAGACTGGTAGGAAATCGAGCAGTGGAATTCGCAGCCCATGGAGTGGAAAAGTTGAATGCCTTTGGGCTGAGGCTTACTGGCCAAGTAGGGTGCCTCTGGGCACTTGTCGGAAGAGCTAAAATTGTTTTGTAACATTTGCCAAGCAGGGCAGATGTTAAGGGCCAGAGAGACGTGCACGAGCAAGCACAGCTGGAAAGAGGCTCTCCTGATGGAAGAACTGTATCCTGAGCATTCTCGAACCTGAATTGTAACCTGCTACTTCCCTAATAAACCTTGTGAGTATTATCTGTGAGCTCTGTGTGGCCATTGCAATGAATTATCGAACCCAGCAGAGAAGCAGAGAGTGCTGTGGGAGGGACAGTTTGTGTTAGAATTGGTAAAGATGGCGAAGAGAGAAGGAATGTCTGACCTCCACTTCATAAGAGTCATCCTTGTGCTGTTGATCTTGATTCTCTTTGCTTCTTGTGAAGTTACAGGAGGTCAGATTCTGTTTTTATAGTTGTCATCAAAAGCAGAATTTATGGTTTACACACAAAAAGAAACAATCTTTGATGGTTACAAGGGAGGGGAGGGGTGGGGGTGGAAAAACACTAAATAGACAATAGATAAGTGGTAACCTTGGTGAAGGGTAAGACAGTACACAATACTGGGGAAGCCAGCACATCTTGTTCAGGGTAAGGTCATGGAAGCTCCATGGACAAATCCAAACTCCCTTAGGGACCGAATTACTGGGCTGAGGGCTGTAGGGACCATGGTCTTAGGGAACATCTAGCTCAACTGGCATAATATAGTTTATAAATAAAATGTTCTGCATTCTACTTTGGTGAGTAGCATCTGGGGTCTTAAAAGCCTGTGAGCAGCCATCTAAGACACTCCACTGGTCTCACCCCTTCAGGAGCAAGGGAAAATGAAGAAAACTAAAGGCACAAGGGAAAGATTAGTCCAAAGAACTAATAGACCACAACTACCATGGCCTCCACCAGACTGAGTCCAGTACAGCTAGATGGTGCCCGGCTACCACCACTGACTACTCTAACAGGGATCACTATAGAGGGTCCCAGACAGAGCTGGAAAAAAA